GCGGGTTCAAGTTCCACTTGGGGTCAAAGCTCTTGCCATAACTCAGCATTGTTATGGTATTTGTACGGGCAGTTTTCTCCTTAGATGTTTTGCTTGTCTTTTCCTCACTTTTCTTTTTTATTTCATTTACCTCATGTTGTATAATTAAGTACATACCAATGGCAAGCACACTCCAAGTTTCACTCATGCAAGAGAACAAGCTAAAGGATATTTCGATTCCAAGAAGTTCCCTGAGGTTGGTCTGTTTAGAACTCGTACCCGCTCTTTGAATCTTTTGGCTTTCTGCATTTCACGTTGACAATTTTACTAATTAACCTTTTTTCTAGTGGTAGAGTTCCTCATCTACCTCCTCGAAAATCATTTTATTTTGTTGATGGGTGACATACACTGCGGGTGATCACAGCTCATCTGTTGACCAGAATGTGTCTTGCTGCTAATGTCTTGACGCATTTCCTCGTCACCAAATTTATATCTGAAAGGCGAAAAAGAAAGAAAGTAAGAGCAACAAGAAAGAAGAAAGGAGACGCAGCTATCGACAGATATCCTGAAACCACTCCGTATCTGAAGGCCACCCGGTTCGCAATTGCGCACTCACTAGTGGAACCTAGGGAAAACTATATACAATCTAAGGGTCCGTTGTCTTGTGCTTTACGAGGTTGTTAGGTGGAACATTCATTAACTTCGGTCTAAACTAATTCCACCTAACAGCCTCGTAGGGAACGAAATAAAGGAAAAAAACTTACACTAAGATGCCGAGGTTGCAATAAGAGAGTTGGAGAACGTATACAGTCTAGTTCGCTGCGGACGAAAGGGCGTGTCTGGCGGTACGGAATCGACGCGGTGCCAAATCCGCTCTCCACCACTTGTTGAAGCGAGCAAGCGACATGACTGCATGATCTCGTTCGTATCGCTCGTTTTCTACGAGTCGTTGCCGCATCCTGCTTCAACATCTGGCAGAGAACTGTTTGGCGCCGTGGCACACTCATACTGCCTGACACGCCCCTTCATCCGCAGCGAACTAGGATATAGTTTTTTATAAAGAGAAAATAAACTGGCGCAGCTGCTTCCTAATGACAGCCAACTGAAGGACGATGAAGTTAAGTAGTACTAGGGATGGGTAGAATTTTCGAGGTTGCCGTCACGCGCGCAAATCTGCAAACGACTGGCTGGGTCCAGCCTAGTGTATAAGAGAGGGCAAAGGGGTGTTGTCAGGTACGTAGTTGCGAGGCCGGCGACGACTGCATATACGCATGCCGACTTTCCTTTCTTATGAATGCGTCTCTCCCTTTCTTCCTTTTGGGCTCCCACAGTGTGCTCGTAAACACGTAAGGAGACGCCCATTTTTTCCCCTCAGATATGGAATGTAGGTGCTACCGAATACTGGAGTTGTGCACAGTGTAGAGTGTTTGTCGGCTGTATGCAGTGCTGACAGTGAGATGGCCATGCTAAGGAAAATTGAACTTTCAGGCTATCGAGATCTACAGTCGAGCTCTTAGTCTGTCACCCGGTAACTATGATCGAAGTATACTTTTGGCAAATCGTGGCATGGGTTATCTTTGTCGTAGGTGGGAAGGCGATTCCTATGCCTGTGTTCGCGACTGTGTGGAGGTGAATTTTTGTACACTTGTGGTTAGCCTTTCTTTATGGTTATACTGCCATTTCGAATACCTCAAGTGAACAACTTTTTTAAGGCACTGCTTCTTTATCCTGGAAATTCCAAAGCATTATGGCGGCTCACGCGATCTTTGATGTTGTTGGAGCAATGGGAGTTAGCAAAAGGAATGTATCGAAGTTTTCAAAAAACGTTTCCCCAATGATCGGTCTATAGTTCGACTTTCTGATCAGGTCAGTTTTTTGTCCCTTTTTAGAAGTGCTGCATTTCTGCCCTCTATAGGAGTCTTATCTAGGCTCATTGGGACGCTTAAGAGCTGAGAATTTGTAAATGCCTTGATGAATATACAGCTGCGAATGTACTGTTATAAGGTTATGCATCTGGGAATAAAAGTGAAAGATAAAAGAAGAATATCTCGAAAGCGTGGGCCTTGGGACGGGGCGACCCACAGGGTAAGACGAGGCCGGCGACAACTCTGGCCGTGTTGCGGTCTTAAATTAAGGCTTTCGGTCGGAGAGTCGACGGACCATCTAGTTGGTAGGGCGCAGACAGTAGCGAGAAGGCCCATCCCTTAAAGTCGCTGCCGCATCCCCCTCCAGCCAGTGTTGTTAATACCCAAAGTGCTAGCTGAATACTGTGGTCTCTAGTGCTCCCTCCCCATATGCATTAAAACTTTTATTTTGAGAACTTAAGAGATATGTTGCAGATAAGTGTCGCAATGGACTCAGCTCATGCTCATCAGTCGCATGTTATGTGCGACGACAGCAATTTTTTGTTGATTATAGTGGGTAAGTGTCGTTTGTTTACAAGGGCGCGATGTGATACTTCACCTCCATCCCTCGATTCTTTTCATTCTGTTGAGGTGATGGGCCGGCAGACGGGCAAGAGCCATGAGTCCCAATTGCCGCTTCAGTCGCGCGGCGGATCAATGGCGCGCGACGTTCGCATTGTCATTTGCAGTACCTTTCGATTGTGGATCGCATTTATGAAGCGCACGTCGCCTCTTGACGCCCAACGTTGGCGCCGGGCAATCTTGCGATTTTCTACGCCACATAATATACCCGAATTGCGGATTTTCTAGCCAATACCGAATTGGGTCCGCAGCTGCAGTAACGGAACCACTCTCCGCTCAAAGTGCGCGGAAACAGGGCTGGAGGATTGTGATACTCGGCTGTCATTGCCATACTCCACTTGCGCTTTGCTCTATGTTGTGCAGCACTTGCGTCGATACCAAGATCTCGCAGCGAAACACGCGCTCAGCGGTGGGAAACAACAAGAGCGAGAGGGCGCACAAAAGTAGACTTGGCTACGGTTAGGCGAATGGTTGGCAGGAGAGTGGGCGAAATGTAGAGACGGCAATCGGGTTCCCCTATCTTCAGCCTCGTTCTCGTACATTTGACCGCAGAAAGTTGCATGCTATTGCTTATGAGTTTAAAATGGAAGGCCAGTTCATCATGATTCTGTTTTCAGCATTCCTACTTTTTTTAACTATTCAACTTGAGAATTTCCAGCACATAGTACTAATTTTTACTTGTAGAGAGGTTTTGTGGGCAGACGAATACACACACCGATATCAAAGAGGCTAACTTCTTCGGATCAAGAAATCAATATGTTGGTAAGCCCCTTTGAAAATTTTTTTCGGAGGTTAGTCACTTGAAAAAGAGATCATATCAATAATTTCCTTGTAAATCAGTTGCCGGATCTGACTGCGGGTCTTTACTGTTATGGGAGCGTAGCTCCGGTGTACTTGTTGCTGCATGGAATGCTGATCAATCGATTCTGAATATCGTACAACCCCATCCCACCCAATTCATGCTAGCCACGTCTGGCATCGAGGAAGTGATCCGATTATGGCAACCCATGGAGGAGGGCAAAGAGGTAAGCCAGATTGGTTCTCTTTTTTGTCTAATCCTTTAATATTGAGTATTATTCACTGAGTAAATCATACTATCGATAGAGAAAGGATTATAAATTCAGCAAGTGTGGTGCTTCAATTTTGCTTGGACAGGAAAATTGGGGCTTCCACTGTCGGGCTTCGTTGTCTCTTGCAATTAGCCAATCGTTGGCATGAAATGGGGATGTAATCAACTTCCTAGAGGAGGGTACGCTGTGACAACTCTCACTTTCCGCATACCCCATTTTATTCGACCTTATAAGTTCTGCTTGTTGTACCGTAATAATAGGGTTTCTGCTTGTTGTACCGTAATAATAGGGTTTCTGCTTGTTGTACCGTAATAATAGGGTATCGGCGGGGAGAATCACAGTGCGATGATGCGATCCTCAGGTAGTCTGGCGTTACACCCGCGGCATTCGCACTAGGACCTGACTGGCTTGATGAGACACATACAACGGTTACCCGAGATGTAGAACTGCTTTCTTCTCTACTGTGGCCAGAAGCTGTCCCACTTTCGCTGCACGACAGTGAGTGACGGCGCTCAGTCCATCGTTAGCCTGAACGCTACGC